GCCACTGCACTTCAGCCTGGGAGACAGAGCAAGACTCTCTCAAAAAAAAAAAAAAAAAAAGAAATATTAATGCATGCTATCACATGGATAAATCTTAAAAACATTATGGTAAGTGAAAGAAGGCACACACAAAATGTCACATATTTGATGATTTTGTTTATATGAAATTTCCAGAATATGCAAATCTATAGAGACAGAAAAGAGATTATTGGTTTCCAGGCGCTAGAGGGAGGAGAAAAATGGAGAGTTACTGCTAATGTAGTAAACCACATGATTTCCTAGGGGGTGATAAAAATATATATATTTTGTTGTTGTTGTTGTTACAGGGAAGAGTGTGAACACAGTCCTCCACTACCAAAGATTATGCAGTTGAGTTTTCCATGCTTGAAATTGCAATCATCAGCAGATCCAGAGTGCAATAAATAAGCCTCACTCTGGGAGAGCCACCTTTGTGATGATGGTATTTCACCTGCCAGGTAAATATGAAAATATTCTTGAATTAATTAGTGGTGAAGATTGCATAACTTGTGGACTTACCATAAATCCTGAACTGTTTATTTTAAAAGGGTGAACTCTATGGTTTGTAAATTATATTTCAATTTTTAAGAAAGAATCTACACCTTCTTCTCCGATAAAACACCAAATGGCAGATGACGCCGGTGCAGGGACGGGGGGTGGGGGGGTGGCGGGGGGACCAGGTGGCCCCGAGGGCCCTGAGATGGGGAACCGTGGTGGCTTCCATTGAGGTTTAGGCAGTGGTATCTGGGGCCGGGCTGAGGCAGCAGAGCTCGCGGAGGCAAAGCCGAGGATAAGGAGTCGATGCCTGTCACCAAGTTGGGCCGCCTGGTCAAAGACATGAAGATTAAATCTCTGGAAGAGATCTATCTCTTCCCTCTGCCCATCAAGGAATCTGAGATCAAGGATGAGGTTTTGAAGATTTTGCCGGTACAGAAGCAGACCCGTGCTGGCCAGTGCACCAGGTTCAAGGCATTTGTTGCTATTGGGGACTGCAATGGTCACGTTGGTCTGGGTGTTAAGTGTTCCAAGGAGGTGGCCACTGCCATCCGTGGGGCCATCATCCTGGCCAAGCTCTCCATTGTCCCCGTGCGCAGAGGCTACTGGGGGAACAAGATCGGCAAGCCCCACATGGTCCCTTGCAAGGTGACAGGCTGCTGTGGCTCTGTGCTAGTGCCTCCTCCCTGCGCCCAGGGGCACTGGCATTGTCTCAGCACCTGTGCCCAAGAAGCTGCTCATGATGGCTGGTATCGATGACTGCCACGCCTCAGCTAGGGGCTGCACTGCCACCTTGGGCAACTTCTCCAAGGCCACCTTTGATGCCATCTCTAAGACTTACAGCTACCTGACTCCCGATCTCTGGAAGGAGACTGTATTCACCAAGTCTCCCTATCAGGAATTCACTGACCACCTCGTCAAGACCCACACCAGAGTCTCCGTGCAGAGGACCCAAGCTCCAGCTGTGGCTACAACATAGGGTTTTTATACACGAAAAATAAAGTGAATTAACATTGCAAAAAAAAAAAAAGAATCTACAAAATTTATAAACAAGTAGGTTGTAAGAGTCACTTATGGCTCTTCATGGAGTCTACAGAAAAGGTAGGAAACCCAATCCACAGCTAGACTATCTTGGACTCATTTCACCTTAGCCTTGTTCTGATCACAACGGCTGCGGTACCATAGAAAACTTTCCCCCCAATTCCCTTCCCTAATAGGTAGGTTCTGCTCTTCACTTTATCTAAATGTCCCCCACTTTTTTCAAGAAAAAAATCTGCTGCTCTTTCCCTTCCTTCATTTTCTTGGAAAAAAAAAATGTTTTTTTTTTGTTTTTTTTTTTCCTGAGACGGAGTTCACTCTTGTTGCCTGGGCTGGAGTACATTGGCGCAATCTGGGCTGCAACCTCCGCCTCCTGGGTTCAAGCGATTCTCTTGTCTCAGCCCTCTGAGCAGCTGGGATTACAAATGCACACCACCACACTGGGCTAATTTTTGTATTTTTAGTGGAGATGTGGTTTCACCATGTTGGCCAGGCTGGTCTTGAACTCCTGACCTCAGGTAATCCACCTGCCTCGGCCTCCCAAAGTGCTGGGATTATAGGTGTGAGCCACTGTGCCTGGCCTCTTCTTTCATTTTCTTTCTCATTCTCTCCCCTGCTTCGTTTCTGCCAAACCATTCCTTGGTCATTCATGTTTTCCTTTTCCTTTTTTGTGTCTTCTCGCCCCTTTATCCCGGTCTCTATTTCCCACCTCTGCCTCCTACCTCTTCCTTCTTCCTTCCTATTCTAGCTCCCCTCTCTGCTAACTGGCCACAGAATGGAAATAAATTCCATGTTAAAGCATTTTTGTAAGAATTATATACTTTTTGTTTTCTTTTTTTTCCAGAGGTTGGTAATTTCTTTATTGATTTTTTTTTCTTAAATAAAATTAACATCCATTTTACCCTACATACAGTAGGGTAAAAATAAAATGTATAAAAACTCCTTTGCACTCCCCTTATTTAGTTCTACTCCACAGAATTAACAATGGTTAATACTTTCTTGTTTATCCTTACAGAATTCCATTTATTTGTAAGAATGGTGTCATATAAAACTCGTTAGCTTAGGTAGAAAAGGTTGCGATTTTGATGTTAATGTTTCTTTAAGGAAAAACAACTCTAAATTAATTATATAGTTGATTTTGCTTTAGGAGATGTAGTCAGTAATTTGAAAAAAAGATCACCCACCCATGCTATATGACTAGTTAGAAATAAATAATTGAGGCAAAATACTTTCATGAACATTATAAAGTGATTTGTAAATATAAGCAGACACTACAAGTAAACACTGATAATATCTGGTGTGGTGGTGTTCATTGACAGCACTTAATTATTATTTGGCTGTTCTGTGTGTAGACATGTCTGAGTTAACCATTTAGGCTACAAATAGAAAACCTCCTGCACAGGCAGTTTCGTTTGAAATTTAAACCTGATTATATTTTCCCCCAGGAACATCCTTCTTGAACTTAAAAAGAAAAAAAAAACAGCAACCGATATGGGTTGTAAGTTCTTCTCTTGTGAAGCCATCTACAGAATGGCCAATTATTCTCTGTCGCTGATCTGGAAGAGTGAGTAAGTACAAAAAGAATACCATTAACCACAAAGTCGTCATCTTCTTCAAATAAAATTCTGATCTCTAGTTTGAATGTTGAAAGATTCACTGTTTACTTGTGCCAATAGGTCAAGATAAATAACTTTTTTCTTAACAGCCATTTTACCAGAAAAGTTTATTTCATTTGTTGACAAAATGTTAAGAAAATGAACTGGTTAAGTCTCACTGGTCTTCTTGATTGAAATTCTAGCGTCCAAAGTGGTAGTGTCAGAGCAATGAGACATCCAGATAATGGTCTCAGAAGCCTTCCCAAACAACGTGGCTGATTCATTAGAAGGGGGAAGGAGGAGAAAGGGCCGACTGAGTCTGTTCCTAAGAGGCCATCTATCCTGTCTTGAAGCAGACAAAGTGCTTTACTGTGGGGCCTACTTGATATATTGGTACAACTATTATTGAATGTTAGAATTATTTTTAGATACTGAGTTTTAAGCACTCTCAGGACAGCTAAAGAAGGTGGATTTCCTTCCGAAGCGTTTCTGCTACTGACTGACTCTAGCAGTCAGCCAAGTGGCACCTTTAAGATCCATCTAGCATGGTTTGAAAAGCTTGGTACGTTTGTGTTTCTTATGCTGCACAGGGACTCTGTCTGGGTCTGTCAACTGTGCAGCAAAAATGAGTTTCCTATTTTTGCTGAACACACAACTAAACTATTTTTCCAAGCTTGCCTTGTAGTTATTTGTGGCCACACAATTGAATTCCGATCTTTGGAACACGTGGAGAATAATGATCTATGACGTTATTTTAAGAAATACATAACTCTTGGCCAGGCATGGTGGCTCACACCTGTAATCTCAACATTTTGGGAGGCCGAGGTGAGCAAATTCCCTGAGGTCAGGAGTTCCAGACCAGTCTGGCCAGCATGGTGAAACCCTGTCTCGACTAAGAATACAAAAAAAATTAGCTTGGCGTGGTGGTATGCACCTGTAATCCCAGCTACTCAGGAGGCTGAGACAAGCGAATTGCTTGAACCAGGGAGGCAGAGGTTGCAGTGAGCCAAGATCATGCCACTGCACTCTAGCTTGAGTGACAGAGTGAGACTCCGTCCCCCCAAAAAACAAAAGAAATATGTAAGTCTCTTCCCTGCTTTATTTCCCCCTTCAATGGCCAGATGCTGATGACAATGAGGATTTGAGGAAAACAGAGCTACATAATTTTAACATAACATAAGGGGGCCTGATACAGAGAGGGTCCATCACCCCTCAGAAACGACAACCTCTTAGGTGAGCAAGAAATAAACTGTTATTAGGCTAGGCACTATGGCTCACACCTATAATCCCAACACTTTGGGAGGCCAAGGCGTAAGGCTCATGAGGTCAGTAGTTCGAGACCAGCCTGCCCAGCATAGTGAAACCATCTCTACTAAAAAAATACAAAAAATTAGCCAGGCATCTTGGCATGTGCCTGTAATCCCAGCTGCTCAGGGGGATGAGGTAGGAGAATTGCTTGAACCCAGGAAGCAGAAGTTGCAGTGAGCCAAGATCGTGCCACTGCACTCCAGCCTGGGAGACAGAGTGAGAGTTTGTCTCAAAAAAGAAAGAAAAGAAAAGAAAGAAAGAAGGAAGGAAGGAGGGAAGAAGGAAGGAAAGAAAGAAAGAGAGACTGTTATTATGTTTTAGTAATATATATTTTGAGGTCTATTTATTACAGCTGTTAGTACGAGCCTATGTGGCAGTCCATTAGGATTGCTATAATGAATTACCATACACTCGGTGGTTTATAAAAAATAAACTTTTATTTTTCATACTTCTGGAGGTTGGGAGTCCAAGATCAAGATGCCAGCAAATTCAGTGTCTGATAGCAGCCTGCTTTCTGATACATAGAATTCAGTTATATCACTGTAAGCTTACATGGTGCAAGGGGCAAGGGAGCTTTCTCAGGCCTCTTTTATAAGGATGCCAATCCCATCCATGAGGGTGCCTCATGACCTAACCACCTCTCAAAGTCCTCAGTCCTCATATCCTAGTACCATCATTGAATTCTAATTTATGGAACACATGGAGAATAATGATCTATGACATTATTTTAAAAAATACGGGGTCAGGATTTCGGCATATAAATCAGGAGAAGAGCTGGGTATGGTGGCTCATACTTGTAATCCCAGCACTTTGGAAGGCTGAGGCAGCAAATCACCTGAAGTCAGGAGTTTGAGACCAGCCTGGGCCACGTGGTGAAACCTCATCTCTACTAAAAATACAAAAATTAGCTGGGGGTGGTGGCAGGTACCTGTAACTCCAGCTACTAGGGAGGCTGCAGCAGAAGAATGGGTTGAACCTGGGAGGTGAATGTTGCAATGAGCCAAGATCCCACCACTGCAGTCCAGCCTGGGTGACAGAGTGAGACTCCGTCTCAAAAAAAAAAAAAAAAAAAAAAACTGGGGAGAGGACTGCATAAACATTCAGGCCATAGCACCCTAACTACTAAGTGATTGGAACGACTAGTAATTGAAGTATTGCAATTAAAGGAAGCAGTCACAACAGATGTGCCTTCACGGAGGGCATGGTAAATACGCCTTAGAAATGTAACTCTTACTCTTACCTTCTTTTGTTTCTTATTTTTACTTTATTATTGGCTCACTTTTGATGTTTTAATTAATGTATTTATTGGTAGCATTTTTTCTTTTCTTTTTTGTTTTTTTTGAGACAGAGTATCGTCTCACATTGTCACCCAGGCTGGAGTGCAGTGGCCCAATCTCAGCTCACTGCAACCTCTGCCTTCCAGGTTCAAGTGATTCTCCTGCCTCTGACTCCAGAGTAGCTGGGACTATAGGTGTGTGCCACCATACCCAGCTGATTTCTTATTTTTAGAAGAGACAGGGTTTCATCATGTTGGCTAGGCTGACCTTACGTGATTCACCTGCCTCCGCCTCCCAAAGTGCTGGGAATGCGGGTGTGAACCACTGCAGCTAGCTGTAAATCATAGTTTATTGTAAGAAAGCTAAGTCAAAAATTCAGGAAACGGCTTCCTTCCATATATCAAGTGCCATTATACTTATTTTCTACAGCTCAAATAAATCTATGCACTTGATTTTTCCATATATTTTTTATTAATACAATAGGCAAATATGTATTTGTACTCTCTAAGTTTTTGTGACAGCATCTAATATATTCTAGGCAGAGTGCACAAATAATAGATTAAAATGGCCAGGCACGGTGACTCATGCCTGCAATCCCAGCACTTTGGGATGCCAAGGCTGGCAGATCACATGAGGTCAGGAGTTTGATACCAGCCTAGCCAACAAGGCAAAACCCTGTCTCTAATAAAAACACAAAAATTAGCCGGGCGTGGTGGCGAGCACCTGTAATCCCAGCTACTAAGGAGGCTGAGGCAGGGAGAATCACTTGAACCCAAGAGGTGGAGGTTGCAGTGAGCT